CTGGTGGGCTGGCTGTTGTAATTAAGGTGGGTTCATAGTAAGGTGCCGATTTGAGTATGGCCGGCAAGCCATCTCCTGCGTTATGAGCTTGGATCGTGTGTCTCGTATTAGGTTTCCATTCGGTGGAGTGCATATGTCATTATTTCAGAGCATTTGGGGAAGTTGTTCGACTATTGCAAGGATGGGCAAGTGCAGAGTCTTCGGAGTGTTCTATGATCAGAATTGCATGAGTCTTTGAAGTATTCAACTAAATAGTCGTGCAGGATCGGGGCATGCTATTGAGATATGGTACTTTGAGTTACCGATGAGGTGTTCTATGGCTTCGGGCTAAGTGGTAGAGTCTGCTAATGATGATCGAATTGTAGGATCATGGGTCGTATTAGTTTCCGGACTGAAGGATTGTTTGGTTATTTCTTCGAATGGTCATATACTGGTGAAGCAACGGGTTGGTCGATGCGTATTAGCTGTGTATTGAAGATTAGAGTAAGCTGAGTGGTTATCGAGAAGGTTCTGGTGAGTTCCAGGTCTTATGTAGCCTTTAAGGACTTTTGAAATTGTCTACGGGTAGGCTTGAGATCGATAGCGAATGGTAATCAGATCTACGGTATTTCCTTATCAAGAAAGGTCTACATGTCAATGTTGGAGAGATGCAAGAAACGGCTTCGGCTCCCCGTGAGGTTCCTTCAGGGTGGTCATATCGGATTGAGTTACTTTCGGGTTGGCAGTCTACGTGACTCGGTTGAGTCAGAGGCGATTGGTTCTGATTACTCGATTATGTGTTAATGAGTTCCAAAGAATTCATCATGGTTATGACCACGGCCTGAGTTAGTGTTTACTACAGGTATAGAAGCTATATTGCGTGTGGTAATGTTCCCCTAGATTGAGTTAAATGCAAGGTTCGTGGTTGATGGGGTGTTCAATTTGCACATGGCTCAGAGTTGATTATGGAACTTTCGTAGTGTCCCGAGTTAGCATGTTAGAGGCGATGCGCCGTGTGGGGTTGAAAAGTTGATTGAAGGTTGCGGTTCAGTTTTGGAGGGAAGGATATGAGTTCCTGATGACACGGATGATTTTGGGTGTTTAAGGTTTTGCTGGCACTATCTGTTCCCATCGGAGGAGATTTCGCCTGTTGGCAGGTACATTGTGTTTTGACTTGTGGGTATTTTTCCGTAAGATGATGGAGTATGAATGACGCATCAGCTATTTGAGTAGTAGTGTGGAGATCAGGTATGGAAATCCTGGTATACAAGAGGTTCAGAGACTGGATGTTCTCGTTGGAAGACTATTCCTTGATTGCGACTTGTGAAGGAATGTAGAGGATTAGGTGATTGATGGTATGTGTTATGGAAAGGTTGCTATGGGCTTGTGGAAGGTTATTTGCTTGTTCGGGAATGATCGGAATCTTGTTTGGGAATTATGTTAGAGCTTAACGAGGATGTGTATTCTGTATCAGATTGGACTCGCTTGCTCCTACGCAGCTGTTACCACAGGTATATTATCGGGCGGAATAGATCCTATTCGCGCCCTGGTCTATGTTTTGTGTTTCTCTCTTATGCTATGACGGGTTGTGAGGGTTACATGATTCTTCGCATGCATACTGTGATTCAGTTTAGGCCTTATGGCATTTTGGGCGAGATGGCCTTCGTGATGTTGATTTGCTTATTGCACCATAGATGTGCTTGTCCTTCTTAGTATTGTTTGTTCCTAATGATTTTCCCAGAGTAATATTTTGTGCACTCTATTTTGCTTGATATTGACGCATGTGATCAGTGAGCCCGAGTATTATGGCTCGATTGGTACCCCATGTGGATTGATATGATGGGATCGAGTTGCACGCTGCAACGGTACTGTGATGAAATATAATTCCTGATGCTTACTTCGTGTATTTTTGCTTTCACCTTGTTGAAAATATTTCATAGAAAAATGCTAAAATTTCCCTGCCTGCTTAACTTGTTTAGTAGTCTTCTTATTTAGCACTCTTACTGTTATCTGTCATGTCTGAATTACTACTTGTGGTGTACGGAACCGGGTTGTATGGGGCTCCATATGTTTTGGCGAGACTTGTCGGTTGGGCTGCTTGTATTGGCAGAGATGAGGTTTTTAGACCTGAGATTTGCACTATCGTAATGTATGGAAGAATGATATTATGTTTCTACGGAGGAATTGGGCAATGGCCCTGGTCGGACAAGTTTCTTGGTTTATTGATCAGATGAGTGGTTAAGAGACTATGCGTGCGTGTTTCTTTCATCATAGGCAGGGTATGAAGGTTTTGTACGAGGTTCTAATCGATATGAGGTTCGCTACCAGCACCAGATTTGTTTTTGGGCAGCAATGGTGGTCAGCAATTCCCGCTGTGAATATCTAAGTGCTAGGTGTATCATGTGAGTACATCTTAGGTTATAGTTATGACTTAATACAACTTGTTAAGACTTATATAGTAGTGTGTATATGTGGGATTCGGGTCGTGTAATGAATTTTGGATGTTAGAAATTGGGTTCTAAGGTTTAAGGACCAAGGTTGAAGTGAGGATCTCTAGTTATGTTTTGTTGGCAGACTTATGTGAAGCAGGGTGACGTGGGATCACCCCCGGGTATGTGCATAGTAAGGTTACACCATTGTATATATATTATCATGTTAGGGAGAATGTAAATCAGAGCTAGTGGTGATGTCGGGAGCTGACTCTGAAGATGTTCGTGCACTCCGGATATAGCTGTCACTTGTCCTTGGTAGCTTTAGATTTTGCTAATCTGTTTATGTAACTTTCGAACAGATCGTGTATTTATTTGTAACAACTTTGTAAATTTCAAATCTTAGAATCTCATGATTCGTACTACCAATTCTTGGGTTAATTTTGTAAATGTTCAGATAGTTCTTCTCTATTTTCCTATAATCTCAGTTGGATTATATTGACTGTTAGTTGGCTTACCCAGCGAATCGAGTTAGGTTGGGTCGTGACATATTTGGACCAAGAAAAACACAGCTCGCAAAAGCTCGAGCTTTTGAAAGTATTTTCAGACTAAGATTTAAACATTGTTTAGGAATAAAACTGCTTATTATCCAATTAAAGTAAAAAATTTATACTTGAGATTAATTTAGGTAACTAGACAATAAATGGAATTTATACTTATCAAAGTGTTTACACAAAAGGTTTAAGGATAAAAAATTTCTTTTTAAGAGCACCTTTCAGGCTAGCATAGTTGGAAACTTGATAATCCTGTTTAGTAAACTCTCAAAATCAGAAAATTATCAAAGCCTCGCTATATCAACTAGTATAAGTATTATAAATAAATTAAAAAAACAAACAAACAAACAATCAAGTTAAGGCAAATAAGGAAGACATTAGTGTGAATCAATTTTTAACTACATTTCATTAATCTAGTTATGAAACAAGAGATTTATTAATTATATTTATTACTTGACTTTGTTTATTCTTCTAAATAAGTAATACCAATAAATATAGACCATCATTTATCATGCACTTTCCGTTAACATAATTTCCAACCCGATTACATTAGATCTACATGGTTTAAAAATTTGTCCATTCTCTTCATAATTGAAGAAATTCAATAAAAGGAAGAATATTATATGATGATACATTTATACACTATATAGGAGAGTCCTGCTAACCCTTCCATCCTTATCTATACAGAGGTATATTTGCCTCAACATTCTCAACAATAGAGTTTGGAACTTACAGAAACACTTACACATACAATTTATGATATTTTGTGTAGTCTAGAAAGAAAATTGACAGAAAAAGAGCATAAACCTTTTCTTTTTTTGGCTTCTTATAGTGATGTGTAGTTTTTCTCTAGCTGTTGGTGCAGCTTCTGCACTATTTGTACTTCTTTGCATGTTGAACAATGTAAATGGAAAGTTGATCAATGATATAAACCAGTTGGGAACCAACGGCTGTGATCTCTTCCAAGGAAATTGGGTTTATGATGATTGTTACCCTCTTTACGATTCATCGGTGTGTCCATTTATTGAAAAGCAGTTTGATTGTTTAAAGAATGGAAGGCCAGATAAGGATTATCTCAAATATAGATGGCAACCCACTGGGTGCAATTTACCTAGGTACTTTCTTGAATCTGTAAAGTTTATCTACGTGTGATCTATAAGTCACAGATTATAGCTGTGGAAGCAGCCACTAATATTTGCATTAGGGTAGACTGTTTACATCACACCCCTCGGGTGCGGCTCTTCCCTAGATCCTGCGGGATGCTTTTGCACCAGGCTATCACTTTTTTTTTTTTGAATGTGTATGTTTTTTAAAATTGACATTGATTGTTTTATCTTTTTACCTTCTGTTTTTTGTTAATTTACTTAGCTGTATATGTTGTGTTTTGTAGGTTTAATGCGACAGAATTTCAAGTCAAATTGAAGGGGAAGCGGTTGATGTTTGTAGGAGATTCACTAAGCCTTGATCAATGGCAATCTCTCACTTGTATGCTACATGCAGCCGATCCACAAGCTGAGTATACTTCCAAAAGGATAGGAGAAACTTCAACCTTCACATTTGCAGTATGTTTTTCCTACGAATGTCAAAGTTAACTCATTTAAAATATTGAGCCAACTATTTGGACTGCACGCATATATAGAATTGACCGATAAGATAACTTATTAAAACATAGATAATAGGTGGATCTTTTTTTCTTTTTGGCGTTTGACTTGTTTAATATGTCATGATAAATAAAGAAAAATCTTTATTAGTTTTGATTTGGTATATAACAAATTATAAAAGAACAAATAAATAAATAAATGAAAAATGACGTGAGTTGAAGGGGTTGAGTTACCACTAATAATTTAACCCCAATTGACTCGCTCATCCTAAGTACCTAACCCAAGCAAACATTGGGTAAGTTATAATTTATGCCTGTTTTAACCAAGCCAAACGTAGTTCAATCCGTCTATTCGGCATCCCTGACTTTTTCATCACTAATTCATTGTCAATAAATTGTTGTGTTGATAATTAATTTATTCTCTAAACTGTTACGGTGATTCTAAAATAGACTATTAATCAAGTTCTTTAATTTCCAAGTCCCATATATTTGATTCTTGAATACATTGCCAAATGCAGAAATACAACACGTCGTACTTGATACTCCGAGATGCTTTCCTAGTAGACATTATTACAAAGAACAACGGGACGCGAGTGTTGATGCTAGATTCTCTCAGTGCAGCTGCTCAATGGAAAGAAATGGATGTCCTCATCTTTGATTCTTGGCATTGGTGGCTTCATACTGGCAGAAAACAAGCGTAAGTATTCTTCAATCAGTTTCCCATATTTCTACCTTAATTATAGCGTATAGATTTTGTTCACTAGCTATGAAGGGGAGACTTAGAGCAACAGCCGAGTTGTCTTTGTGTGGCCTATAAGCAGGGGCGAAGGCACATGTCTTATAGGGTGGTCAACTGACCACCCTTCGTCGGAAAATTATATTATATATATAGGTAAAATATTACTAAGTTTTAGAGGTATATAACAATATATTGAACACTCTTTGTCGGAATTTTTTTTTCCACTTATTTCAAATTTGAACACCATTAAGGAAATTTCTGGTTTCGCCACTACCTATATGTCACGGGTTCGAGCCGCGGAATCAACTACTAATACTTGAATCAGGATACTACCTACATCACACTCCCTTGGGTTGCGGCCCTTCCTCGGATCTTGCATAAACGCGAGATGTTTTGTGCATCGGGCTGCCTTTTTAGATTTCTTGTACTATCACTTAATTTTATCATATGTACAGGTTATTAACTAATGTTTGTCATATAAATTTACTTGTAATTATCTTATAAGAGACTTGAATTTATTAATTATCTTTGCATCGTCAATACATATCAAACCTACTTTCATTAATTGATGGAATTCTAAGTTTGGTCATATTATTATGATTGCTTTTGCAGTTGGGATCTTGTTCAAGATGGCAACTCTACATACAAAGACGCACCCCGGTTAACCTTATACGAGAAAGCACTGAATACCTGGGCAAAATGGGTGGACTCTGAAGTAGATACAACAACAACTAAAATATTTTTCCAAGGAGTTTCTCCTGACCATGACAAGTGAGTTTATGACAATATTTATACTTAGCATGGTAAACATATTATAAAATACAAGTTTAAGTTTTGTGCACTGACAGTATGATATTTAACTATAAAATCAGTTGTGCCGGAGTAACACAACCATTGAAGAGTACACAAGGACCTCATCCAGGAGAATTGGTACTGGAGAAGGTTTTGAGAGGGATTAAAAAACCAGTTCATTTATTGAACGTAACAACATTGTCACAGTACAGAGCAGACGGACATCCTTCAGTTTATGGGTTTGGTGGACACAGGAACATAGACTGCACCCATTGGTGTGTGGCTGGTGTTGCTGATACTTGGAATCTGCTCTTAAGTGCAGTTCTTAATCAATTATAGATCGCCATTATTTAAAGAGAGAAGTGGGAGGAATACCATTCCTTTGTTTTTCTTTCTTTTCTTATCTTTTTTGGGGATAAAACATAGAGTGCTCAAAACAACAATATGTACTACAAAGGTTATGCTCCAATTTCTTTTGAAAACTAGTATTTCTTTTGAAAAAATATGTATTAAAAATAGAAAGCATTTCTTTTTCTTATAACTAGTAGTATTTTACTGAGATAAGTAATTAAAATAACGAGTTAATTAGAGAAGAATTAATCTAAATAGCCGTTCATTTAATCGCTTAAGTTTAAAATAGTCAGCGGATATATATTGTCACGACCCAAATCGATGGGTCGCGACGGGCACCCGGTACCTTACTCAACCATGTACCAACGTAACGTATCTTTCGTATTATACAATCATAGGTAAATGAACCAGAAAGGCTGTCATGAGATAACTAGAAAAAAGCATGAGGCAATATTCGACATAGGATGACCCAGTATGATATATCAGCTTATACATATGACGTACGGGCCTATAAGGCCGAAATGATTACTCGTACACTGAACATAGGCCGACAAGGCCATACAATCTTTCACGTACATGACATATGTCTACAAGCCTCTAAGAGTAGATAAATACCATAAAGTTCGGAATAGGGCCCCGCCATACCAATCAATACATGTCTAAATAATACTGACCAAAACTCCGGAGCAAATGGAGCGCACCAACACCTTCCGCTGAGCTGATAGCCTACTTGGAAGACTCTCAATGTAACGACCCGCCCGGTCGTTTTGAGAATTTACGCCCCGATCTCCTATTAACTGTTTTCCCCGTGTTTATTTCTGCTATTGTGATTTGCCGGGAAGATTCGTTTTGAGTTTCGGAGTGTTTTGGGAAACTTAGTCCCTAAATGAGAGCTTAAGCTTTAGAATTTGGACCGTAGTCGGAACGTTGTGAAGACGGCCTCGGAATAGAATTTCGTCAATTCCGTTAGCCCCGTTGGGTGATTTCGGGCTTAGAAGCGTGTTCGGATTGTATTTTGGAGGTCCGTAGCTTATTTAGGCTCGAAATGCCAAAAGTTGAATTTTTGAAGTTTCCGGATCGATAGTGAAATTTTGATATCGGGGTCAGAATCCGATCCCGAAAGTTGGAATAGTTCCGTAGTGTTGAATGTGACTTGTGTAAAAAATTTGGGGTCAATCGGACATGGTTTAGTTGGTTTCGGCATCGCTTGTAGAATTCTTGGAATGTCAAGTTCATTAGGCTTGGATTGGAGAGTGATTCGTGGTTTTAGCATTGTTTAATGTGATTTGAGGGTAGGACTAAGTTCGTATGATGTTTTAGGAATAGTTGGCATGTTTGGTTGAGGTCTCGGGGGCCACGGGTGACTTCCAAATGCTTAACGGAATTGAATTTGGACTTAGGAAATTTTCTGAACTTGCTGAACTTGTTGGTTTCGCACCTGCGGAGTTTGGACCGCAGGTGCGGCGCCGCAGAAGCGATTAGGCAACCGCAGATGCGGTCTGAGGCTTGGAGATCGATTGTCGCAGATGCGGCTCAAGGACCGCAGAAGCGGAACCGCAGCTGCGAGGTAAGGAGCGCAGGTGCGAAATCTAGTCACTTAATGAAATTCCGCAGGTGCGAAGTATGAGCCGCAGGAGCGGGACCGCAGGTGCGGTGGACCCCTCACAGAAGCGGAAATCGCTGGGCAGAAAAGGGTGAAATCAAGGGATTGAATTCATAACTTGTAAAATTGATTTTGAGCTCGGTAGAATGCGATTTCTTGAGAGATTTTGAAGGAGAAGTACTGGGTAATGAATTCTAACTCTAATTTGGTTTTAATACATTAATCTATTGTTATTTTTCTCATCTAATTAAGGAATTTGAGGGTAGAAGTTGGAAATGGGGGAAAAAGTTCCCCAATGGAAAATCTGAGTTTTTAATACGAATTTGGCGTTGGATTGAGATGATTTTTGTACGAGTGAACTCGTGAGTGAATGGGTTTTCATAATCCATAATTTTTACCCGATTCTGAGACGTGGGTCCGGGGAGGATTTTTGGGCGTTTTCCTATTTTCTTGCCATAGCTTCGATTCCTTTAGCTAAACTCGTTGTTTGTATTTATATTTACATTATGAAATTGATTTGATTAGATTTGGGCCACTCGGAGTTGGATACTCGTGGAAAGAGCGTGATTTCGGATTGATTGAGCTTGGTTTGAGGTAAGTGGCTTGCCTAACCTTGTGTGGGGGAACTTCGCTTAGGATTTTGGTAGCGTTGTTATATGAATGCCGTGTACATGGGGTGACGAGTGCGTACACGTGCTAATTGTTGAAAAACCCCATTTTCGTTAAGTAAATATCTGTGTTTTCTTTTAATTGAGCAATACTTGTATTTGAAGTTTCCTGTTAGGCTTAGGAAAGCATGCTTATGTGACTTAACTGTCTTATCTGCTGTAACTGCTTACTTGGATTCTGTGTAGCATGTTTTGAGTAGAATTTTCCTGTTTTCGTGATACGAACTTGGATAGAACTGTAGATTTCTTTCTTGAGACTGTTGTGTGTTTACTTTGGGACTACGGGACGGTATCCCGAGAGATCCCCTTGCATGTTTACTTTGGGACTACGGATCGGTATTCCGGGAGATCCCCTTACATGTTTACTTTGGGACTACGGATTGGTATTCCGGGAGATCCCCCTGCACATTTATATTTGGGACTACGGGACGGTATCCCGGGAGATTCCCCTGTACTGGCTATTTACTTTTGGACTACGGGACGATATTCTGGGAGATCCTCTACAAATTTACGTTTGGGACTACGGGACGTTATTCTGGGAGATCCCCTGCCACTATCTATGCATACTGAGTCATTTTCTTTTTGAGATTTCATCTTTATTTGACTGTTAGCATCTTTAATTATACTGTTACATTTTATAACGTTTTACCTTGTTATATAACCAGTAGGGCCTTGACCTTCCTCGTCACTACTCGACCGAGGTTAGGCTTGGCACTTACTGGGTACTACCGTGGTGTCTCATGCCCTTTCCTGCACATATTTTTCGTGTGCAGATCCAGGTTCTTCTGCTCAACCATGCTATCCGTAAGGCGAGGCGACTCAGAGACTTCAAGGTATATCTGCTGCGTCCGCAGACCTAGAAGTCCCTCTCTACTCTCCCTACTATTGTAGGCTTTTCCCTGTATTTCCCTTGTTATTAGACTTCTTGAGTTACAAACCTGATGTATTTTCTTTAGCTTGTGATTCATTAGATTTCGGGTTTTGGGAGTGATTTTGTGTTCAGTTTGAGAGAGTGTTATTGTATATGCCGAGCGGCATTTTAAAATTCTTTATTATGTTACCGCAAAATTGCTAGTTTCGTATCTTAAATTCCTTTTCCCGCAAATTATTAGGCTTACCTAGTCGTAGAGACCAGGTGCCGTCACGACAGTTCACGGAGGGAGAACTTGTCTCGTGACAAGTTGGTATCAGAGCTCTAGGTTCATAGGAGTCATGAATCACAAGCCGGTTTATTAGAGTCTCGCGGATCGGTACGGAGACGTCTATACTTATCTTCGAGAGGCTATGTAACTGTTAGGAAAATTCCACTTCATTTGATTTCCTTGTCGTGCGCGACTTTTGATATCAAATTCTAAACCTCTGTCTTCTATTCTCTCACAGATGGTGAGGACACGTGCTACGGGAAATGATCAGACACCCGCGCCCCCTGCTAGAGCCGCCAGAGGTCGGGGCCGGGGTAGAGGCCGAGGACGCGCATGTGGTGCAGCATGAGCACCCGCGCGAGCTACTACAGAGGAGCCACCAGCAACTCCTGCCGGAGCCCAGGTGCCTGATACGCCTACTCTTACTTCTACTCCAGCTCTCCAGGAGACCCTTGCACAGTTCATGAGCATGTACACCACTCTAGCTCAGGCTGGGTTGCTTGCCCTTGCTGCAGCCATATCTCAAGCCGGGGGAGGAGCACAAACTCTCGCCGCCCGCACCCCAGAGCAGCGGGTTCAGGTTGATCAGATCCCAGAGGTTATACCGGTACCACCTGTGGCCCCAGTTCAGCCCAAGGATAGGGAAGTAGCTTCAAAGGAGGAGGAGCGAAGGCTTGAGAGGTTCAAGAAGTACCAGCCTCCTACCTTCAGTGGTCTAGCATTGGAGGATGCTCAGGGATTTATGGAGGAGTGCACCGTATCCTCCGCACTATGGATATATCAGGATCGAGTAGGGTTTCTTTCACTGCCTTCCAGCTTCGAGGAGCAGCCTATCAGTGGTGGCGTACTTTTGAGTTGGACAGTCCAGCTGAGACAACTTCCCTTATATGGACTCAGTTTTCAGATATGTTCTTGGGGGAGTATGTCCCTCAGAGCCTCAAGGACGCATGGCGCGCGGAGTTTGAGCATTTGCGCCAGCTATGATTGTTTCAGAGTATGCCGTCCATTTCAGTGACTTGGCTAGGCATGCACCGGCCTTGGTTTCTACGATTCACGAGAGAGTTCACCGGTTTATTGAGGGCTTATTCCCAGCATCAGATCTAGCATGGCGCGGGAGTTGGAGATGGATATTTCTTATCAGTAGGTGGTGAGCATTGCTAGGAGAGTAGAGGGCATGCATGCTCGGGATAGAGAGGAAAGAAAGGCCAAGAGGTCTCGTGAGTCGGGCCATTATTCTGCTGCCCGTGCCCCGGCTGCAGTTCGTCATGGTAGGGGTTATATGAGTCGCCCCGTTCATTCAGCTCTTCCAGCAGCCAGTGGTATGCCAGCTCCTCCTAGACCTTAGGAGCCTTATTATGCACCTCCAGTATCTAGTGTGCCTCCTGCGCGGGGTGCTTTCAGTGGTCAGCAGCAGACCTGGCCCGAGCTAGTCACAGCCGCCACGTCCTCCTAGAGCTTGTTTTGAGTGTGGCGACACACGCCATATGGTGAGGGATTGCAACATCAGTTGCTACCCCACCTGCCCAGCCAGCTAGAGTGGAGGTCGGGGAGGTAGAGGTCGCCCTAGAGGGGGAGGCCAGGCCAGATACTATGCCCTTCCTGCCCGTACTGAGGCTGTTGCCTCCGATTCTGTCATCACAGGTATTGTTCCGGTCTGTCATAGAGATGCATCAGTTCTATTTGATCCAGGCTCCACTTATTCTTATGTGTATTTTGCCCCGCATTTGGTCGTA